GGGTTTTAGGTGACTGGAAAATCAACTGAATCTAGTTTTTGTGGTAAGCAGATGTGCTTCTCACAAACTAGAAAGACGACTACTTATTGTAAACTTCATTTTCCCAAATTGGCAAAAAAAAAATAGTTTTAATACCAAATGTTCTTATCGAATGATGTATTGATCATAGTGAGCATGAGGTCTATTCCTGTTATTCTCAAATGTGATGAATAAAATATCACAAAAAGGAGACGACACAACTTATGAGGTTAGTTCAGAACATATTGGTTATTCCCCACCCCCACCCCCGCTGAAAAATGCACTTTTGAAGTCCTGCGCCATCACAGAAGAAGCATGGCTATCATCCAGCTGATGTACTAAAATGACAACGAAGGGACCAGAGACAGTCAGAAAAAGTTTCTTGGGCTTCCACACTTCCAGTCCATTCACACTTCCCTCTTCTTCCCAGAATATTAATGTCAGTAAAGAAGTACTCCGATGACACCCTGGCTCCCACCCAGCCTGCAGCATTCCTATGTACGGATGATGGGTAAATTAAATGGAACCAACCACCTTGCAAAGCCAGGCAACTTCCAAAAGAATGAAGGATTAAAAAAAATTCGATAACTGCAATTATTTCAAACTAGGAAGTGTGGAGGTACTTTGTTACCCAGAGGTGGATAACCAGAACACAGACTGTTCAAATACTAGAAGAAGTACTGCAATTAAATGGTGTATGGTTATCAAGCACAGTGGAAGCCAGGCGAAGAAACTGGAGGAGAAAATACTCGCTGTTGCATTTGGGTACAGGGGAGGAAAGGAGAATAAGAATGGAGAAAACTCTGAGAAATGGGTTCATTTTCTGTCTACATTGACATGGAAAGGAATAGCTTTAATATAAAAGTAGAACTACATATCAGAAGGCACTAGCCAATGAAATTCTTTCTTGACTTATTCTCAGCAAAATCTTCTCAATCTGACTCCGCCCCCTGGGGAGTCAAAAAAAGCATCCATTATTCCACAACTAGGGGTGAGACACAATGTAGGTGCTTTAACGTCAGTGTTCCCACTAACAATCACAAAACTTCCATTAAGGGAAGATTGTTCTCATGTCATTGATGAATAATTGAAGCTTTGGTGAGGTTACAAAAGTTGAAAATAACCTACAGCTAGTAAAGAGTCTACCAGTTATTTTAACTCAGTCTAGTGTTATCCCAAAGGCCAAAGTGAAGACTGTAGCCAGCTCTTCACCGTCAATCTAGTCCAATGGAGACTAAAATGGCTGCTGATGATTTAAGCTCTGGTTTTCTCTGAACTCCTCCCTCTTCCATATGGCATCATCCAGATGGCTAGAAGCTCGAGAGAGTGATCTGTGGCAATCAGTTTTCACTCCCCAGCAATGCCAGTTCATGTATTACTTTCCCATAATGCCCCTGGATTCCAAGAGAAGGGCCTCTGTAGATGCAAATTAAGCCTGGGAAAGTTAAGCTAAAATTTCTAAAAATGAACCCTAAAAAAGTATGTTTAACACAGGAACCAGGTTCCAGATTGTGTCCTGTTTACAAAGCACATATTGTGCTAATAGTAAAATCGAGTGCTACTTTCATAATGATGGCCTAAAATGAATACCACCCACCTACACCCCCACCCTACCCGTGCTCACACTCCATCAAAGCAATTAAATCTTAAATCACCTTGCTCTAAACAGCCCTGGCAAATGGAACTGTGGGCACATATTTGTTAGGTTTGTTTACCAGTTTCCCCAAACTGCTTCACCAATCAAAATTAAAGAACTACCTCACCCACGAATGCATTCTGGAGTCCTAAGTTTTAACTCACAGGATAAATGTATTTTCATAGTGATCTGGGGGGAAAAAAACCTACTCAGATAAAACAGGTGCCATCCATTACCAGAAGCCAATGCTTCAAACAACACTCTAGAGACTTCCAGGTTCCATAAGTAGTTAACAGTTGTTCAGTAATAATAGGATGGTATGGTGAGATAATTTAAGAAAACACAGAAGGCTGTTTTAGCCTTCTGGGATTTTACACTGCTTATTAGCATTTTAAAAAATATAAAAATAATCCAAAAGTTGCATTTATGTTTAAGTGTGCTTTAATCTGAGTGCTCCCAATCTGTGTCTATAGGACTTTGATTACATAGAATACCTGTTCCCCTTTTTTTAGAATATAATTTTCAAACACAGAATTACAGTAAGTAGCTTTCTCCACCTTTTGCAAGGAATTATATTAGGTCATTTGGCAAAACAATGGAGCGATGCTATGTTTGACCCTTTCAACTGACTTGAATATCTGCTGTTGATTATTGGAGAGTAAGAAATAATAAAGACAGAGCAAATGCTATAAAGATGCAAAATAGGATTTTTTTTAAAAAATAAAAGCACATAGACTTTGATAGACATTGTTACTGAATCACTTACGAACAGAGGAAGCTCTTTCAAAGCAGGATTAAAACTAGGCGTTTAATTTCCACAAGCTTCTGCATCTTTGAGTATAAAACAGGTATAAAAATAGAAACTGTGTAGGAGTGGCTATAGGAATTCAGTCAAAGATGGTGTGTAAATTGCCATCCACCATGCAGATATCCAATGACTAATACTCTCCCCTTCTGTTTACGTTACTCCTTCACTTGAGCAACTTTATATTGTTTCTGATAACAAAATGACACTATATTAGTTTAACAGAAACACACACATTCAAATTAGAGACCCTTGAATTCAGGTTTCTATCACTACAAATACACAATAAGGACCATAGAGAACAAGTGATCCTGGCAGGACTGTATAACCTGGTTTGTGTTTGGATCACTCCAAATCATCATAATATAAGTGACTTTAATTAATAAATTAATTAATTAAAAGCATGTTCTTCCCATTCACCTGAAACTCAAACTTTCTATTCTGAATGGCCATGCTCAACGTTATTCTGCAACTTGAGGATCCTACATGTGGAAGTTTTGTCTCTGCATGTCTACTTTCACTACTAAGAGAACTATTTATCTTTAATAAATCAAAAGTCAGATCTTCATTCTCTGTAGCCCTCCAAGTACTCAGCATAGTTCTGGACTCAAATTGTTCCCTGTGTGAGTATTTAGTAACTGATCTGAACCATTCAGTACAGGGAAATGTTAGGAACTAGATGGGTCTACCTCATTCATATACTGAAATCCCACAGTGGAGGTGATGGCATTTTAGGATGAAGTTCTCAGAAGATTTCCATGAGACTAAAAGTGAGGCCATTGTGATACACTGATGAGATCCTAAGAAATTAAACCTGAAACCTGCCTCTTCTTCACCATGTAAAGACACAGTGAGATGTCTATTAAACAGGGAAAGAGCCATCCACATGGCCATACTGACCTTGAACTTCAAGCCTTTAGAGGCATTAGAAAGAATTAAATTTCTGTTTTCTAAGTTACCCATCCTATGGTATTTTGTTCTTGTAGCCTGAGCTGACTAAGTCAAGTTGTGTAAGGTTTGAAATGCTAAAGCTAAAATCATGAAGATAATTCTCCTTTCTGAATTTTTCCCTTATGTACTCAGACACATTTATGTTTGGAAGTATCTCTTTTAAGCTAGTGCTATGGGACTACAGAAACCAATCACAAACCTTTCCTTGCTGGGATATTTCTTAAAGAAACATTTATCAAAAAAAGATCATGGAAACCTAAACCCCAGAAGAATCATATCTCAAACACTTGATTTTACCATTAGAGGAACGTATAGTTCCATATACAAAGTTTGCTAGATGATTAATAAAAGGAAGAACATATTTGAAAATTTACAATTATTCACAGTACCATTTTATGCTTATCTGTGGGCACAAAGAGTGGATGTAAGTACTAAGAAAGGCAATGACAAAAGCAACAAATGTCTGCTGGAAACCCACAACATGATTACTGTTTCATCCAGTCTATTAAAGAAAAAGAAAAAGAGAATGGATAGTTTAGCATAGCAGGAGCCTGTTCTGAAATCACTCAGCTTCAGAACATATAATTCAATAAAGACAGAGAAAAATGCAATGAAAGTTTCGATATGGAGATAGTACCCACACAGGAGCCTTCACACTCCACTCATAAACAAATGACGGTCATAAGACAGTCCACTGGGCATTAGTGAAAGACACAGAACAAATATTTCTGGGTTATTTTGTTCCAGAACAAGCCTGGTTAATTTAAAAGCAAAACTTGGAGTGATATGGAGAAAATTAATGCATTCCACCCACCAAATGGCAGCCTATCAACTTTCAAAGTGAAGAAAAGTTTTAACTATTGAATTAAGATGAATAAGGCATATCAAACATAAAAAGGAGGTAGAGAACTATATGCCAGGAGAGTCATAAGAACACCAATGCTATATAATTATAATCCAGATATAAGAGATTTAAGAGCAGTTTGCCTGACTCATAAACTTGACTGTTAGTATCCAGATTCTTCCAATACCTAGGTTTCATATTCTGGGCTTCAGTATGAAGTTGTCAAGTAAACCTTTGAACCCTGGCACTCTTTCCAGTTCAACCATCAGAAAGTGTAGGCTGACTCCCCATTCTTTTCCTGAACACACCCTGGTTTTGGTAGAACTTTGAAATATTTTTAGCCTACAAGCTAACATATTCTCTTCATCCCCATCTCACTAACATGTTCAAGGCTACCATAAGAGCTGATATTCAAGCCATCAATCCCATGGCAATAAGTTCCTCTTCATGAGAAACACATGGATTTCCTCCAAATTAGGATTCATATGCAATACCAACAGGAAGCCAGTCTGGAGACTCAGGCCTGTAATTCCAGCTATGAGGAAGCTAAGGCAGAAAGGTCACAAATTTAAAGCATGTTTGGATTATAGTAAGTGCGAACCAACCTTGGCAACTTACTGAGACCCTGTTTGACAAGAAAAGTAAAAATAAAAATAAGATCCAAAAGTAAGGAAGTCAATTATTTAGGCTCTTAGATACCTGATAACTATAATTACTGATTCCCCTGTTATCATCATTTCTTACAGATACCAGTTCCTTTTGGGAAAATGAGCATTTCGTTTTAGAGAAAAAGATCACAGACACAAAGGAAGACACTACAAGAAGTTTCTCTCAAAATCTCCAACCACAATGCTCCACGGTATTGTTAAAGTATTTTGTTGACAGTACAGTTTGTTTGATCAAAATGCTATCTCCTATAAGATAGACTATTTGAATTGTCCAAATAACCATCTTGTAAGTCCAAGTCCTAAGATCAATTACATGAGTCTATCCTCATCCGTCATCTTATGCTCCTCAGTTCCTACCAGGATGTTTGGGGGAAAAAGAAATTTAGCATCATTCTTAACATCACTCATGAGAGTTAAGAGACATCATTTTAAATCGCATCACTTAAAGCTGTGTGACATTTCAATATGAATTCATTTTATAATCAGAGAAACAAGCAATTATCTAAAAACTCAGTGAAAGGCATTGAAATAACGGTCATAATTTAGCAAAGTCCCAATACCTAGTGAGAAATAAGTTCATTGCCATCACAGGGATGGTGATCTAAATACTGCATAGTTGCCCCATTTTATGCTGATCTTCCATAAAGTTCACAGAGATGCTTCCTTTGGTCACCCTGTTAAAACATGAGAATATTTTGCTCTGAGAGAAGAACTGATGCCTAATACAACATCATGTGCAATTCCTACACTGTGAAAAAGACAGCAATAATAAATAAAAAAACGTTATCCCTACGCATAACTTTATGAGCTAATATTCACAATATGAGTTATAATACTGAGATATATAAAATATACAAGAAGGATCCACTGTTGTGAGAATATAAAATTAAACAAGAAAATGGGGAAATATATTTCATTTTTAATGTGAAGACGCTGAACACACCCCATAGGGAAAGAGACAATTTTGATGTAAATGTGCTTAAGATTTTCAGACAATTGAATCACCAGGAGGTTAGAAATATGATCAAGTAAAGTATAATAAACGCTAAGTGCCTCTGAGCACAACATGAAAATGGGAGAGAAAAATGGTCATATTGAGAATCAAATTGTATCCTTGTGCTTCTGCAGAGAGGTTGAAAATGATAATTTTAGGCACACACATTCAAACAAAATATCTTACAGCAAATTAACCCACAGAAAATAAGGAACACTGAACTCGCACCACACAAAAAGTGCGTGTCATTTGGCAAACGGCTTCAGGAGCAGCTAATATATCGCAATTCTGGGAACAATGAGGTTACTATGACTGAAGGTTAATCTGTAGATTTTTATCGGTTGTTGGACCACAAATCTTATATGCAGCATTGCTAAGGGAATCTAAATTTCCTGCATCCTGAAAACAATGAAGAAAACAAAATTCAAAACTGAAAATCTGGGCTGCTAATGTAGCTTAGTGGGTAATAGTGCTTGCTACTGAACCTGACAACCATCATTCAGTTCCTGGAATGGATGATGGAGGGAGAGAATCAATTCCTACAGGTTGTCCTCTGATCTCCACAGATGACAAAATTAATTGATTAATTGTAAATAAATAAATAAATAAGCGATCTAGAAATCCTAAGTCTCTCAGAATTTTTTTTTTAAAGGAAGTAACATGAAATGAAACAGGATGCTAATTTGGCAAACAAGACCAAATTTTCTATCAGGTTCCAATTGGCTGAAGTTTCTCAATCAAGTTCTTACAACATCTGTTTTGAAAATCCACGGAGGTTGTTACTCAGCGTGTCATGCTTTGTTTTCCTGAGGTATTAAAGAAAAAGAGGAGCCCTCAGAAAGAGCCAACTCTCAGGACTAGCAGATGAGAAGCTTAATTCTGTGGGAAAGTTTTCCACAGCTGACTCCTCAAAATTCAGAAGGGTGGGAGGGGATGTCACTTTTTTTCACTAAGCATTAGCACACATATTATCCAGGTGTGACACCTGTCACCTCGCTGTCACGGCAGAAAGGTTGTAGGAGTATTTGAAAGCGTATCTCATGAGAGCAGGTGCCAGCGTATGTAATAGCATGCATTGGTGTTCAGCTAATCTCCTGCAAACTGTTACATATTCTGGTCTCTTGTTTTGGGTTTTACTCACAAATACTTTTTAGTTGTCCTTCTTTTAGCAAATGATTTGGGGGTGAAATCTAGGCAAATATACTATGTAGAAGACAATCTTAAAATTATCTCTTGCAGAGAGATGGCATTGCCAACTGATCTTCAGGAAACACAGTGATGAGGGTTTCAAATAAATCTAATTTTAACTAATGCTATGTAACCCTTAATAAAAAATGCATGCAATGTTGCTTTATTGCTTTGTATTTTTTAACTTGGGTAGTATGAACACATGATTTAAAAAAAAAAAGTGTCACCCACATCAATAATTACCACAAAACTTCAGGGGCTCTTTTCATTCTGGGAAACTTAAAAGACAGAAAGACCATAAAAGGGTTTTTTGTGATTACTGAATAAAAAGATATTAAAGATTCGCATATCAATGATAGAGCCAGGCAAAGTTGGAATCCCAGCTCTCCCACTGATGATGAGGCCTGGAAAAAGTTAGCATTTCTGAGTAGCACAATTCTTCAGAAAAAGAAAGAAAGAGAGATCCACTGGTGAGTAGCGGCACTCTGCTTTTGTGCAGCCACTTAGCACATGATGACACACTGGTCACTGGGCAGTTTGATACAGTTCGGAATTTTCCTGACTGGAGTACAGTGTTTCCACTGTTTTATTTTACTGTCTGCCAGATGGGTGACTTGAAAAAACTGTGTAGTCATGCTTGAGCACAGTTTGAATTTCCTCAGAGGGCTATCAATAACATTTTAATGGGGTTAATAGGAATAAAACACTATCATATAACTGTACGTTCCTCGGCTCGTGCTGCTGGAGTGAATTAACCTTGAGTCTGGTAACTTAGAAAACTTTAGTTCTGTTAATAAAAAGGCTAAATGGGCAGGAAGGGAAGTACCCATTCTGGAGACTCTAGGAAATAGTCTGCTTCTCTGTCTGGAAACTGCCTAAGCACCTTGACTTGAGTAGGACCCATGTTATTCTAGCCTAGTCTGTTTCCCTGTGCCTGAGTACCTTGGCTTGAATAGGCCCCATGTTTCTCCATCCTCTACGGTCCTGTCTCCTTGGCTGACACTTCTGTCTCCCTATTTCATAAGCAAGGACCTTGGCATCACTTTGAGCACCTCTCAATATTCCAGACACAAATTCTTTAGCTTAGTTAAGAGTCAGTCTTTTATTTTTATTGATTTTATTGAGCTCTGCATTTTTCTCTGCTCCCCTCCCTGCCTCTCCCCTCCCCTTCAACCCTCCACCAAGGTCCCCGTGATCCCAAGTCACTCTTAAAGTATAATTAACACATTCCCAGACTCTGAACTCTAGAACATAGAAGTCTTCTGCGTACAGTCGACAGCTGCACAATATGTAAGTTCCTGCATTGCTACGACTGTGATTTTCATGAAGACAAATATGAGTCCTCCTCTTTAGACCTTCAGTGTATCTCACCACACAACACTAAAGGCAAATACTTAACAAAGGCAGTTGATTTTTCCCATTTTTTGTTTTTTTTTTAATTAATTTTACTGTATACAATTTTCTTTGCTCCCATCCCTTCTTCTCCTTTCCCTTTCAGCCCTCTCTTATGGTCCCCATGCTCCCAATTCACTCAGGAGATCTTGTCTTTTTCTACTTCCCATGTAGATTAGATCTATGTAAGTCACTCTTAGTGTACTCATTGTTGTCTAAGTTCTCTGGGATTGTGTTTTGTGGGCTGGTTTTCTTTGCTTTATCTTTAAAAACCCCTTGAGTGAGTACATGTGATAAATGTATTTCTGTATCTGGGTAACCTCACTCAAAATGATGTTTTTTAGCTCCATCCATTTTCCTGCAAAATTCAAGATGTCGTTATTCTTTTCTGCTATGTAAATGTACCACATTTTTCTTATCCATTCTTAGGTCGAGGGGCATTTAGGTTTTTTCCAAGCTCTGGCTATGACAAACAAAGCTACTATGAACATAGTTGAGCACATGTCCTTGTGGCACAATTGAGCATCCTTTGGATATATACCCAAAAATGGTAGTACTGGGTCTTAAGGAAGGTTGTTTCCTAACTTTCTGAGAAATAGTAACACTGATATCTAAAGGGGCTATACCAGCTTGCACTCCTATCAGCAATGCAGGAGTGTTCCCTTTACCCCCCATCATCTCCAGCATAAGTTGTCATCAGTGTTTTAGATCTTGGCCATTCTTACAGGTGTAAGATGGAATCTTAGAGTTGTTTTGATTTCCATTTCTCTGATGGTTAAGGATGTCGAGCATTTCCTAAAGTGTCTTTTAGCCATTTTAGATTCCTCTGTTGCGAGTTCTCTGTTTAGGTCTGTATCCCATTTTTTATTGGAATATTTTTATGACCAATTTCTTGATTTATTTGCATATTTTGGAGATCAGCCCTCTGTCTGATGTGGGGTTGGTGAAGCTCTTTTCCCATTTGGTAGGCTAAGGCAGTTGATTTTTGCCAACCTCTATGTATGGACTTGATTTTCCATCATAGCAACTAGAATTAGACTGGATCACTCTCTCTTGTGTGCTACATAGCATGTTTAAAAATAAAATACTATTTTATCCAGATCCAAGCACAGAAAATAGTTACATTAACTTCTAATTAATCCCAGGAAATCCAATCAAAGAATTTTAATTTTGTTCTGATTTTTTTTTCTCTCATTCATTTGAAACCTAGAACGGCACAGGCAGAGGCAGGCAGATCTCTGTGAGGTCTACACAGCAAGTTTGAGTACATCTAGAACTACATAGCAAGAGAATTTATATCAAAGAAACTATATATTTTACAGACTACAGAGGCTGGCAGTTCATTTCTTCATTTGAAGATAGAAAACATCTTACAAGGAATCAGACATTTTCTCTAAGCTAACATTTTAATGCCACCCTTTAATGACAAGTGGCTCTTTAACTGAGTAAATCCTCCATTGATTCTTCGTTCCCATCTACATTTTGCTAGATCATAAGCAACACCACAGTCCTTTGCTGTAAGAACACATAAAATCTCAAATTTACTTCCATTCCAATAGCAAAACTATCATCCTCTTCTTGGGAGCATTCGTGCTTCAAGGTAAAGAGTTCACGGACTCAAATTAATTTTTAATATGTATTTCCTATGCCATTTTAAAGTTATTGCTAGTGAACTGGATTTCTGTATTGCTTTAGATCGTGATATTCCTAATGTCCACGACAACTCTACTGTCAGAGCTGAAAAATGGAACT